AGTGCACACTCGGACAGTGTACCCTTGTAGCATGGAGAACACCAGACTGCACGGTATGTGGCTTGCAGTGTCACACACCACATGACCATGCTCATCTGGATGAACTACATTTGTTCACAGTCTAAAGTGAAAATGACAGTTGCTCTATATCTTGAGAAGAGTGTGGTAAAGCTTGATAAATGCTTGTAAAATGTTTGGAGAACCTCCAATGAATGAGTAAACTTTATTATGTCTATTTTAATAACTACAGACTAGCAAATAGTTGTCTTTTTCCATGAATAAGACGATACTATAATAATAAATAATACAACCCCCCTTCCCTAAGGATAAATATTATCCCAATATGGAACATTCAACATGTTTTATAGCTGTACCTCACAAAGACTTAATTCCTCAAGGATTTTAGAGCTACTTATTAATGTTTTAATTTGCATTGGTTACTACAGTCAACTAACTACAGGCAATGATAACAAAAACATTTTGCTTTTTTCCATGTGGGCATGGGGCAGAAGTTGTAGCCTACCCCAAGTCTAGAAGGAGGGAACCCTCAGGCAGAAACAACTTTGCAAAAGTGAGAAATAGGTGACTTTCCTTCTGAATTCACTACTCCATTAACAAAAGAATACTGAAGTCAGCCTTATGGTCCAAAGCCCAGTGGATTCAATAGAAAAAAATAACTGATTTTAATAGGTTTGAGACCAGACGTCTGTCCAAAGATAAAACTTTCTTGCTTATGCTGGTCTTCTATGGAGTCAAAATTGTCTCTCACAAAGGAAGATGGCATGGAGTAGTAGGTAGAAGAGATACTGCCAAGGAAATAGAGTTTTGTTCCTACCCCTGTTTCAAATTACAGTGTTACTTTCAACATGTTGCTCAGCAATTGATTTTAAAAAAGGACTTAGGCACCCAAAATTTAAGTGGTACAATGCCTGACTTTTAGGCACATAGTCCTTGGACTAGAATCCAGATCTCCGAGTGAGACATCTCTGTTCCCTGTACAGTGCAATGGAAAAATTAGGAGCCTTAGAAGAGAACCCAAAGTGACCAGCATGCTCAGTGGGCAGCTGCCTAAAGCTGACCAACATGCACTGCTGAGGAGAGCATTAGTCTTAAATGCTACTTTTCAGGTGTCTTACTCAAGGCTACAGAAAGGCACCATCTCCTACTCATGTTTCATAGCCCTTAACCCTCTCTGGAAGGTGATATATGGCTTTTCTTTTAAGAGTTCCTAAAAGCTGCCAAGGAAAGAGGAAGGGAGGCAATGGGAGTGATGGTAACTGATGGTAGTACTGACTTCCCAAAACTTTAGTAATGCTAATACTATAAGGAAATCTTTGCATGTAGTCATACTACGGAACACTGAATAAGCTCTCATTCCTATGCAGCAAAGAATTTCAGTAATTTCTAGATATGCCAGGTGTCCTGTAACTGTGGCTGGCAACAAAAATAGATTAAAGGAAGTACAATATGCAACAGAATGTATCATTGTCAAACTACTAAAAAAAGTGTTTTGCATTCTCTACTAAACAAATCTGCTAGATATATTTCCATCCTTCTGACCAGAAGAAATCCAGCTTTTAACAGGTCACTAACCTAATTAGTATCAATATATTTCAAGTTAAATCCAATAACACAAGACAGATCTTATTTACTCCTCATTTTAATTAAGTGACCCAATCACCCTCATGTTGTTCTACAACAGCAATTACTCATTTCCTTAGTCTAAGCAGTTTATCACAGTGAGGAAATAGGTAACTGCTGAGAAAAAACAAAATAAAAAAAACTACTCGCAATCATAGTTATACTACTAACATCCAACAGTAGACTAATTGTGATTTATGTTTTGAGGTCAATGTGCTCCTACTTGGACAGCACAGTTTTTTCATAAACAGATTTTACATTAGTTTGAGCTTGGAAAGAAATCTGAATTATGAGAAGCAAAGCAAAGAAAAAAAGAAAAGAATCGACCGACTATGCATGTTATTGGAGGGAAGATATATTTATATATCCAGCATAAAATAGGAATTTCACTTCAAAGGCTTCCAATGCAAAGCAAGATAAACAGCGAGAAGAGTAATTTTAATTCAGTTGGTGTCACAATCATAAATGGGTCACAATATTAGATGCTGTAAACTGGAATAACTTCATCAATAATCAGTAGAACTATGCTAATTTACACCAGCTGAGCATCTGGATCAAGAAAGTTTCATGTTTTAAAACTCAGTATATAAAATAGCAGTAATGATTTTGAAGTAAGCACACATGGCAGTTGCAGAAGTAAAACTTCATTCAACAATTCTTGTAAAACAACCAGAATGAAGCAGTAAAGGAGGATGGGAAGTTTATAAATATGATATTAATAAGAGTCAGAGTAATAATACCTTTGAAAATAAAAAGGTCAATTGTATGCTATGGATATGTTTCTTAATTAGTCCACAATCTTTTAATGGCATACTTGGTAACATTAAAGATTTCATGCTTCATTCTTTTCTCCTTGGGGATTTGTGCTCTGATAGCACTTACATTTTACAGATCTTGCCTACACAATTTTAGTCAGCAGATGACTGTCCTTTTTCTCTGTGTCCTTACTTCACTTCCATTTCAGTTCTTTTATCAGAATTTCAGAACACAACTCATAGTACTTCAAGATCAATAAATTTTTTCTTGGGTTGAAAAGTACAGAATCTACCCCAAGAGCACCAACAAATTTCAGTGTGTCCTTTTACAGGTAGTTAAGAGGAAATCATGCCAAAGTAGTATTTGGGTCACAAATACTGAAAAAGGGAGAAATAGCCACTTTGTCTGAATGAGCACTAGGTGACAGAGAAGCACCAGTAGAACCCTTTTGAGAAACAAATTACAATTTTTGAGTTTTGTGTCACTGGTTTGAAGACATCATTGAATACAAAGAGTTAGAGAAGGCATAAGTGTATAATACAAAACCTAGAGTTGCACAGAAACAAGAATTTCTTTTTTGCCAGATATTCTGCAGGTAAGAAATCTGTTTTAATTCTAAATCAAACAAAAACAAAGCAATTTGGAATTTTCTAAGAAATTAAATTTTGGATAAAAGCTGTTTCAGATCCAACAAAATGTTTTACCAAAGACTTTTACTTTCTATTTTATCTTATATTAAAATTTAGCCTAGAAAGTCTAAAAGAAAAATTGTTTCAAGTAAAACAAACTAGTCAGAGGGGACCTTACAAACTAGTCAGAGGGGACCAGCAGGCATTGGGGGAGTCCCTGTTCCCCCAAGCACTACCAGGAGTGACTAGGAATAATGGTCACAAACTGGCAGAGGGTAGATTTAGGTTAGATATCAGGAGGCACTACTTCACGGTCAGGGTGGCTAGGATCTGGAACCAACTTCCAAGAGAAGTGGTGCTGGCTCCTACCCTGGAGGTCTTTAAGAGGAGGCTAGATGAACACCTTGCCAGGCTCGTCTGACCCCAGTACTCTTTCCTGCCATGGCAGGGTTTGGACTCGATGATCTGCTCAGGTCCCTTCTGACCCTGCTAACTATGAAACTATAATAAATAGTTCAATTTTTAACTTGTTAAAATGGAGCATTTTGATACTGTCTAAATTTTAGATCTAATTTTTTCTAAATGAATTTTGTTTAAATTGACAAATTATTATGAAAAGTTTCAATTTTAATAAAATGGCACTTTCTGATGAAACTATTCCAACCAAACTTTTTCAATCATTTCTGTCAAGCCACACCTTTGTAATATGATCTGTACCTGGCTGCCCAAAGTCCTCAATAGAAGGGCTTCACAATACTTATCTATATATATAGATATATATATAGATATAGATATATTTATTTAAACATGTGTCAAGCTTGCTGTTAAAACATTACCTTGTGTTTAAATTTGTTGGAATTCTTGTTCTCCTTCTTGTTTAAATCAATGAAATAGTGAGTAATACGGTCCTTAGATTTAGAATCCATGTCCCATGAAATCTTGAAAGAGTCACATGTGATGTTACTTATTTTGATGTTGTGTGGCACAGGAAGTTCCTCCATCTCTGCAATCCCACTGTCTTGTGATTTATTCCCTGTGCAGAAATAAGCATTAGATAAACAGCCACTGGGATGTGATTACTGGTATTCTTTTACTAGAGATAAACAATGGTATTGGCCAACCATTCAAAAACTATACCGAGCTAAAAAGCAATGATCAGGTCCAACTATGTAAGCCTGATTCAGACTGCTGAGAATATATTCTCTTTAAAGCAAATAGAGTATAAGTAAGGATTTCACAATCTGGTCCATAATATAAAATATAACATAGTTGTTGATCCTTAGGGATGGCTAAAAATTATTAGTAGTTAATAATAAATGGTTACCATCCAACCTCCATATCTGGAAGAAATACAATTTGAAATAATTTGAACTGATATTTTTAAACATCAAGTATAAACAGTTTCTATATTTACAGGTGGCAGGTAAATGTAAAACCTGACACTAGCATATTTATAAACTGTTATATTTATCAAACTGTTGATACTATGATCATTTGGTTAAATTACACTGAACAATAAACACAAAGACAGCTGATTTTAAAATTTGTCCTACTGTAATATTTCATATAGCGCAGCAGCTCATGCTAAAATGTGGTATTCCCTTGAACTCCTACATATTTAGGACTTCCCAGTAGCATTGCCTCCAGTAAACATTAAATTCAGAAGAATGAAGTGATCTTTGTTAGACCTGAACTGTGTAGAAGAATAGGGGAAATACAAACAAATAATACTGGAGGGTCAGGAAAAACAGAAAACTGAGTGGGTGGAAGAAAGAATACAGCAAGCAGTGACAAGGATAAATAGAGAGGTGAGATGGCTCACAAGGAAAATGAGAGAAGCATCGATAAAAACAGGGAGGGAGGTAAGAGGCTAGGAAATACCAGTGAAAACAAGATGGATGTTAGAGGAAAAGCTTCTAGAGCTTACCTAGCTTAAGAAAATGAGGTGCATCGCAGAGCACTTAGGTGCCTTGCTCCTTCAAAGAGTGGAAACTGCTAGGAAAAGAGCCCTAGCAGTGAGTGGGGAGCCCCGGCTGCTGGTTACCAGGGCAGAGTGAGCTAGTGGCCCACACCTGCTAGTGGTCAGCTGACCTGACCAGGGCAGGGCCTGGCTCACATATAAACCCTGGGGCTGAGGCCAGGACAGCAGTTCCCTGTCAGCAGCTGAGCTGAGTGACAGAGCACCCCTGGTGCTGCTTGAATGAGGTTATAGCTGGAATTTATGTTATAGACCAGGGGCTTGTGTTTTGTTTACTGTTTAAGACTGGTGGTTTAGGTGAGGCTATTAGGGGAAGAAGGAGGTCTCATAGGGGATCCATGGCAGCATGGGGACCTGAGCGCCAGAGGGGGCGCAGCATTGGGGGTGCACTGAATCTGAGTGCCAGAGGGGGCGCAGCATTGGGGTAGCCAATGAGGGCACAGAGCAAGATAAGGCCATGGTAAAGTGGTGGTTGGAGCCATGCATAGCCCATAAGGCTAGGGTGCCCCAGAACACCCACTGTAGAACAGGAACCCCAAGGGGTCCAGGAGGCCACGGGGTCAAAGTACAGCAAAACAGTGTCCAAGATGCCATAAAGGCAGTCTCCCTAATGTATATTTACCAACAAAGATGTGGCGGGCGAGAATCAAGGGTGCCCTTTGGGACAACTTGCCATGGGAAAGGGGCCTTAGGGAGATCACGGCCATCCTGCAGGACCCCGTGCCATGACAAAGTGTGTTCTCATTTTTAAATGCCAGTTTGTATAGAGGAAAACAGTGGTGCTTAAAGGATGGTATATTACCTAGTCACGGCTCATTCTAGGTTGATTCCAAAGAGTTCATCACAACGAGCTAACATCCTTTAGGGTATGAGATGATCAAATACAGTTTCTTAAATACAGTTTACAGGTAAACTGACTTTTTGACAGCATCCTAATTTATATAGATTTTAGCACTGATGGGGCATCTCTACACGAGGTGTTTATTGTGGAATAGACTAATTAGCTCTGCAGTAAGAAGAGCTAATGAGTCTAGTCCACAATTAGTCTGCAATAGCTCCTGCGGTGAAGTTATTTACTTTGCAGCACTGCATGCTGATGGGGCTGGCTGGGGCATGAGGGTACTACTGTGAGGGTACTGCCTGCTGGCTATCCCCACACAGCCAACCCCTCTGCAGCATGTTGAGCCACGTTAGAGCAGCCCCAGGCTGGGAGGCTGACCACCTCCCACCCCTGGCTCCTTGCCAGCCAGGGCTGCTTTGACCAGACTTAATATGCTGCAGTCCTGGGCGCACATGTAAATGCAGCAGCTGGGAGCAATGAACTCCAGCACGATAAGCACCAGAGTTTATTGCTCTACATTTAATAAGCATATGTAGTCACGCCCACAGAAAAATATATTGCCTTTCTTGTTTAGAAGCCTAGTTTTACAACATACTGAGCTTCCAAATTCCCAACCTTCAATGTGCAAATCCAGTCTAGGTAGTTAATATATTAAATCATAACCACCTAAATGCATTTCAGTGCCAAGTGAGGTGCCAGTGCAAGTCCAGCTGTTGGTGGCGAAAAGCCCCCATCACCAGAAACCACAACCGCAATTGATGTTAGACAGACTCATCAGACAGACTGAGAACAAAGAGACACGGAGACAGAACCAATGGTGTCATTCTTTCTTTCAGTGTTAGGGGACATGAGTACACAATCAAATGCACTTTATTCATTTTATTTTATTCAACTGATATGCTATCCTTCCCAAAGAAGGCTCACAGTGGCTTACAAAGGCTCAGGCAGCATGCATGAGTATGTTTACATATGTTTGTATGTGTAAATACAGAGATCCACACACACATAATAGAACAATATATGCATGCATTATGTCCATGTATTTCTTTTTATTACTCTGTAGCTCAGCATTTGATACCAGCTTAGTATGTGAATCATAATGTATAGATATGTTCAATTATTTTATTCAGCTGGCATCAAAATGCCATGGGAAATACTACAGTGCTATAAACTATGCAAGAACAGTTCCTAATACTGCAAATAAATAAATAAGGTAAGATACAATTTCCAGGAGCCTAAAGTATGTGGTTGCTTTTAAGAGCTTGACATGTTGCATTACTGATACCAAAAGCAGAAGCTTTATAACCTGAAGTCCGATGGATGAATTTTTAAATTGATATGGCAGGGCAGTGGAAATGCCAAATAACCTCATGGTAATGATGTGGGTGAAACTAAACAGAAATTGCATTGGCATGAACTCTCACAAAAAAAAATATAAACAACACAAACATCATAGAAGTCCACTTTTTCACAGAACAGCTACTCAGTTTTTGATTGCCTGATTCTTATGCTCAAGGGAATCTACCAAACTCCTTTAAAAGGCCAGTTTGGGAACAAAATTCATAAACTGGCTAGGCATCAAGAACCTAGGACTGAACACTGGTATTAACTTTATGACATAATATAATCTACCTGATTCCTGAAATTCTTCTTCCTCTCCTTTGATACGCCTTGGTTTCCCAGTAATCAAGCTTCTTTTCTTCTACTAACTGTTTGTCTGCTAGTTCTGGGAATTTCTCCCCTCTCCAATTTCAAAGCACTAAACAATGTTTTTAATCATCATTGAGTATCCTTCACTCCTCAGACCCGATGAAGAATGCCAGCTGGTCCAATAACAGGTAGCACTCCAAAAGGTCCTTGTGAATTACAAATTGCTCATTCTTTTCTTAACTCAATATTTTCCATTTTAACCACCTAAACATATTTACTGATTAAGTGCAATAATGCACCTTATGTAAATAATAAGGTCTTACTGTAGACTGCAGAACTAATATTTTGATTATGGTCCTTAAACTTTCCAAGTAATCAAAAGTATGGCTGTTAGTGGTAGGCATAGTGTGGAAGGGTGTTGAGTTAGGGCTGTGTAAATGCAGCCATCACTTGCCCTCTATCCACTGGATGCCTGCTACTTATCCCAGACACCCATCGCTGCCTCCATATTCACTCTTGTCCCTGGTCCCGCTGCAGCTGCTGCTGGCCATGCACATCCAGGCTGGAAGGTGTCCCATTGTCTGGATCTGACCTTTGGCCTGGGTGACTTTGACACCCCTGAAAAGCACTAGGAAACTAATCTACAGTTTAAAAAAAGTGGTGGGCAATTATTTTGGCTAGAGGGCTGCTTAATAACTTTTGGTGAGCTGTGGAGGGCCACAGTGGTGCCCTGCCCCCTGGTTGCCATCTTGGGACTGGAAATCCTGCCCCTGAGCTTTGCCACTGGAAGTCCCTCCCCTTGCCCCCAGAAATTCCCCTTTTGGGATGGGGTCTGCCATCTTGGAATGGGAAAAAAACAAATCATACACTAAAAATCAAACACCTACTATAACATTTTAAATTTTAATTAAAAAAATATTTTGATCTGATTTGTGTGTGTTTGTGTAGTATACAGAGAGGTGACTGTATAATAAAATAACTTATAATAAAGATTTACTTTTGAAATTGTGTGTGGGGGTGTTTGTGTGGGGAGCTGTGGGTGTGGGGTTTGTGGAGGAATATATGGGGGTTTGTGGGTGTGTGTGTGTCGGGTGGTGGGTGTGGGGGGGTAGGGTTTATGAAAGGATGTGGGGGGGTGGACCCCAGATGCTTAACAGCAGGCAAGGGCCCCCCAGCAGAAGTCTGGCTGAGTTCTAGAGCTTCACGTGGTGGTATGGAACCAAACTGGCCTGGTCCAAAAGCGCACATCTCCCAGATAGTGCCAGGAGCTGCATGTGGCAGCACAGAGCCCACCCGGCCTGGCCCAGTGGCATGTGACCTCTGAAAGGCCACACCTCCCACTGACTTTCAGAGGGGCAGCCACAGGCCAGTAATAATTATCTTTTGGAGGGGTCCCACAGGTTGAAGAGGATGGCCTGATGGGTCAGTTCCAGCCCAGCAGCTATATTTTTCCTGCCACTGGTTTAAAACCTTCATTGTTGGGGAAAATGTCCTTTTTGCAGTTTCATCCTTTGATTTCTCAGAAAAAAATTTTGTTTCACCCTAAGAAAATCATCTCCTTACCAGACATAAACAGTACATGTGTGTATATGCCTCTCTCACATAGCTGTCATTAAGTTCAGACCTAAGCTAGTCTTTCAAATGGACTATACCCATATACTTACTCCCATGATCATGATCTTATTTAGCACATTCATGTCTTCCTTTTCAGTCAGTTATTTCATCTCTTTAATTCTTATTACTGTTCAGATCCCTTCTGATTTGGTAGTATATTTTTCAAAATGCCAGTTCAGAAAAATACACAATGTTCAGGTGCAGCTACAGATAAAGGATTTTACCCTCCCTGGTCTATGATGTGATATTTGCAGTGCAAGCTCATATTTAATTTGCTATCTACTATATCCCTTGGGTCTTTATGAGAACTTCTGGTTTCCTAGTACTTCCATCCTATTCAATATCTATGTTTATTTTCCCTTACATATACCAGCTGGCATATTTCCAGTTTGATTCTCATTTTTGCATTACTTGACCATTTGCATATGTCAGCTCCTTCAAATATTTCTGTCTCTTGGGTGCTATGCATCACCCAGTCTACTATCATCTCCAGAATTAAAAACTGCACTTGCAGTTCTTCTTTCATAATCCTTATCAAAGATGCTAAAATGGAATCCCATGCTGTATTCTGAAGCATCTCACTGATTCATTTACAACATGAGGCACTGGCTTGTGTCATTATTCTTAATTCTTTGTTTACTGTCCTTCAGCTAGTTTTCAATCCACTGTGACAGGACTATTGTCCAACTAAAATTAATTTCTCAAATAAATTTCATGAGTCTATCAGATGCTTAACTAAAGTTTAGTCATATAAATACTCCAAATAGTGACCTAATATCCTATTTAATTGTATGGAAGGGTACCTCCAGTTTTTGTTTTGCCTTTAGTAGATCAACCTAGGAGTTTTGTTTTCAGTATCTTTAGTCAGATTACTTATAAACAGTGGGTAAAATACAACCTGCTGCAGAGGCCTGGCACAAGGCCTATATGCTTGTTAACCAGAACTCAGCCAGCACCTACCCATTTAACTGGTGCACAGGCAATATGGGTAGCAGAGGTCTAACAAATAGTGCAAAAGATACCACACTTGTAACTTTCCATTGAAAGATTCCTTTTGTTACCTGCTCTTTAGACAGCTTTTTTTATCCAGCACCCAATTTTCTCTTGAGTGCTGCCTAGTTGTCCATTCTTCTCATACTGGCAGTAAGAAATGAATTACTATATTTTCTCTCCTATAATATGTACCCAAATATAATACACACTTTGTTTTAGGAAGGTGGAATGAAGGGAGGGAAAAGCCTTTTCCTTGAAAATAAAAAGTAATTTAATATAACAAATTTATAAAAAGCAGCAATCTTTACAAAGAACAAGTTATAAAAATGCAAAACAATCACAAAGCTTTGTGGATCCCTCATCCCTCATTACAATATTGTGGCATGTAGCCATCAATGCAAAGGGTTGGGAGAGCCTATCACTACTCCATTAACATCCTAGCAGCTGCTGGTGTTTGACTGCTAGCTACACACCACAATATTGCAATAAGGAATATATGAGGCATTTGCAAAGCCCCTATGTAGTGCCCTGGACAGAGTGAGAAGGGGGAGGGATGTGGGGACTACATATTATGCAACTGCTGGAGGAAGAGCCTGCAGCAGCCTGGCTAAGAACAGATAGCCTGCTCTCTGACCCAGCCTGCTGTAAGCTGGCTACAACTCCAGCTGGGGACAGATGTACCTGAGCAGTCTTGCGGTATGGGATCCTCTTGGGGGTGCCTATGGCTAGTCACCACTCTCCATCTTGGCTGGCAGCTAAATGGCATTGCTGTACTTCATCACAAATAATGTGTAACTAGATTTCTAGCAACTTGTGTTTTTTGGAAAAAAGGTGTGGGTTATATGCAAGAAAATATGATACACAAGGCATCCATGCATTTTCATGCTACTCCGGCACAGGAAACAACAAAGGGATGGTGTGAAAAAACATGTCACAACTCCTTCAACTGCAAATGGAGAAAGGACTAACAACCAATTATTGTCAATATTAAAGAATGGCATACGTCCTTCCATTAAATTAGCGACATGTATTCTAGACCCCCCTGCTTTCTACAAAAATCTGAGTCACTTATTTAATAGGTAGAGGTCAGGTGATTCTTGACCCTTCTAATCAGAAGCTGAAGAAATCACTTATCTTTGTGTTGTTCACACATTGAATATAAAGCTTTTGTTCTCAAAGCTCCAGAATAAACATGAAATGCCATCTTCACTGAGATCAACTGGAGAACCAAAAGATTAATGCTTTATGCTTCTATTCACAGGGTTATCTCTCTGCCATATCCAGAGTTAAATTTCATGTTAAATTGTCTAATCAATTTTAAAGCAGCCATGATAGTGACTACTGCAGCTGAAAAAAAATGCTGGCAAATGAGAAGCAAATAGATTTTTATTTATATACCCAGCTACACATAATTACATATGTGTGTACACAGGCCACTTAACTCAGTATTCTCCCAGTTACATAAATGTTATCTATCAGTTACATAAATTAGCCAAGTGAAAAATAAAGGAAATAGAGATGTTTCTGTTGGTTGTTCATGGTTTTCACTTGCAGACAAATTACAGGACTTGGGAGTTGATAGGACCAAGCTAGAAACATAGATTCAGAGATGCTAGAGTTGGAAGGGACCTCAATAGATCATCAAGTCTGACCTCCTGCCTAGGCAGGAAAGAATGCTGGGGTCAGATGACCCCAGCTAGATGCCTATCTAGCCTTCTCTTAAAGATCTCCAAGGTAGGGAAGAGCATCACCTCCCTTAGAAGCCCATTCCAAATGCTGGCCACCCTTACTGTGAAGAAGTTTTTCCTGATATCTAGCTTAAATCTGCTGTCAGTTTGTGACCATTGTTCCTTGTTACCCCAAGAGGAGCCCTGGTGAACAGAGCATCTCTGATTCCTTGCTGTGGCCCCCTAATGACTTGGTAGGCAGCCACAAGATCACCTCTCAGCCTTTTCTTGTGCAGGCTGAAGAGGTCCAGGTGCCTCAGTCTCTCCTCATAGGGCTTGTCCTGTAAGTCCCTAACCAGATGCGTGGCTCTCCCCTGGACCTTCTAGAATCTATCAACATCCTTCTTGAAGTACAGCACCCAAAACTGGATGCAGTACTCCAACTGCAGTCTGACCAATGATACATAGAGGAGAAGTATCACCTCCTTGGATCTATTTGTTATGCATCTGCTGATGCATGATAAAGTGTAGTTAGCTTTGCTGATGACTTTGTCACACTGATGACTCATGTTCATCTTGGAGTTCACAATACTCTGAGATCCCTTTCCACTTCTGTGCTGCTGAGAGGGCCACTTCCCAGCCAGTAGGTCTGCTAGATATTTTTGCACCCTAAGTGCAGCACTTTGCACATGTCCTTGTTGTACTGCATCCTATAGCGTACTGCCCACTTTTCTAACCTGCCCAGGCCTGCCTGCAATCATTCCCTACCCTCCGGAGTGTGCACTTCACCCCACAATTTAGTATCATTCACAAACTTGGACAGAGTACACTTCACATTCACATCCAAGTCACTGATGAAGATATTGAAGAGTACAGGTCTAAGGACTGAACTCTGCAGGACCCCGCTACCCACATCCTTCCAGGTCAATACCGACCCATCTACTACCACTCTCTGAATGTGACTGCTAAGCCAATTTGCCACCCACCAGACCGTGTAATTATCTATGTCACAGCCTCTTAATTTATTTATGAGAATAGGATGAGATACCATATCGAAGGCCTTGCTGAAGTCCAAGAAAATGACATCCACTTCTATTCCTGCATCTAAGCATTTTGTTACCCTGTCATGAAATGAAGCCATATTGGTCAGGCATGATCTACCTGCTACAAATCCATGCTGGTTTCCCTGCTGCATTATTTTTCCTGCTGGACTCCCACAAATATGATCCTTCATAATCTTTTCAAAGACCTTTCCAAGGATGCAGGTGAGGCTGACTGGCCTATAATTACTCGGATCCTACTTCCTCCCCTTCTTGAAAATAGGGACCAAATTGGCCCTTTTCCAGTCCTCTGGGACCTGACCCAAGTACTGCGAATGCCCAAACAGCCGTGCCAATGGTTCTGCTATGACACCGGCCAATGCCTTCAGTATCCTCGTATGCAGCTCATCCAGGCCTGCTGACCTGAAGACATCCAGTCCATCCAAGTGACTCTGCACCAAGTCAGCATTGACAGTTGGTAGGCTAGTGTCCCTATGATGCCCATCTAAGAAGCCATTAGGAGCCTTATCTTGAGCCCTGTTCAGGAACACTGAGGCAAAAAACTCATTGAATAGCACAGCCTTGTCCCCCCTCTCTGTCACTAATTGCTGCTCCTTGTTCAGTAGGGGTCCTATGCCGCCCTGCACCTTCCTTTTACTTCCTACATACCTAAAGAAACCACTTTTTGTTGTCTTAGAACATGTAGAAGAGGTATGGGAATTCTTCTGAATTTGTCTCATCACTTGGGAAAAACAACTTAATCATTTAGTCTAATGTGGTAACAGGATGAAACACAAAATTTGTAATGAAACTTCTTGCTGAACAGTAATTGTTATGTGTTCACAATCACCTTTCACTCTCAAATGGGAGAAGTCCAGAGGATGGATACTTGCCTACTGATTTCTATTTAACAAGAAAAAGGTTTTCTAAGGTATGCACAGAAGAGGTCCTAAAAACAACAACAACAACAAAAAAACTCACCTTCAAAACATTTTGAAAAATATTTACAGCTCAGGAAAACAATTTTTATAAAACTGGAAAAATAAAGTAACAAATGCTTCTGGGATATGATGATCTCAAGTCATGAAGTTTTAGCTCTGATATCATCCCCCACAGTCAAAGCAAAATCTAATATTAGGCGCTATATAATTATCTTTAAGTAAACCAGGATTAATAAGCAGCAACATGTACAACAATAGTCTCCAACCTTTTTAAGTACCAGGTCACTTTTTGAATTATAGTGCAACCCAGGATCTACCACGCACAATACCCCACCCCCCCAGCAGGTCAGTTTGTTGGGGAGGGAAGCAGGGGTGCAGATCAAGGCCCCTATGGTGAAGGAGGGAGTGGGGCAGAAGCAGAAGTTCAGTGCACATAAACCACTTTCAAAATGGCTGAAACTGGTTTAAAATAAACCTAGATGGATGTAGTATCAGATTTTGCTGATTTAGTTTAAATTGGCTTTTTGAACTTCTGTCCCAGATCCCCTCCCGGTTCAAGTGAATTCACAGTCCCCCAGTATCCCAGGGTGCTTTGCACCTCCCCTGCAAACTCACCCTCACAGGATGGGCAAGCTAGCCTTGGCCTAAGCTGTCTGGCCCAGCAGAGCCAGGAGGCATGCTTTAGTGCCCCCCAGCTTCTGGCCTGAGCCATTGCAGGCATGTGGCTACAATTCCAGAATCAAAAGCGAATGTCTGTTCATTCAACTATTGGTTTCATGTGATACCTAACACTTCATGGACAAGGTGAGAGATTGCATTTTCAGAATATTTGTCTCCTAAAATATATTAGATATGGGGTGAGGGGGAAATTTTCACAAGCTTAAGAAATAGTGGCAGAGACTTGCTTGAATTGTGATTTTAGTACTTATTACACAGTGAAAGAAGTTCCTACAAATATTGTTCATGTTCTCAAGGCTTTGTTTTGCATTCAAATGCCTCTGCACTTCATTGAAAAAAAATTTTAAAGCTAAAAGCTTTTTAAGTGTTTCAGAACACCCAATTAGAATTGATCTCTGTGGGTCAAGTTCAGGGTTCTAGTCACCATTGCTTTAATGCTCAATAAATTGCTGAACAGATTTTCATTTAGGTTTAATTTTAGTCTCTCTTTTTAATATAATTTTGCACCTATGATTGACTGGAAGTCACAAATAATAGTAGATATCTAGCATTCAACTTTACCAGAGCAACTGAATAGAGTCAGTTTCCTATGTATTTTCAAGAAGACTCTGAAGTACATAAATCACTTTTGACTTCAGCTCCTATAATACTTAGATGTTTTTGGAAAAAAATTCTCTAATACTTGCATTTATGCTTTAATAAAAAGGTAGATGAAAATGAGAAATACAATTCCTTATTAATCCAAAGCCTATTCTAAATATGTTCTCCATTATAATAATTTTTGAGACCTATATATCATCTGTCTCAGTTAACATCACTGAATTTGCTTTATGCTAATAAACAAGTTATTTCAAGAATAAAAATCTGCTATGTTCTAATATATGCCTTATTTTTCCTGTTTTCCTTGTGCTTTCTCTTTATAGAGAATCTCAAAATTATCAAAGATAATTGTTTAAGTGAATTGTCTAGATAGAAATATAATTTAATAAAAAGTATTATTGGTATGTAGGGTAACACCTCATATTTGAAATCACAGAAAATTAGGGTTGGAACAGAATTCAAGAAGTCATCTAGTCCAACCCACTGTTCAAAGCAGCACCATCCCTTACTAGATCATCATTGGT